CCATGTGCCAATCAAGTAACAAGGGAGTTAGGGAGCAACATCACACCACATCCCATCCCATTTGCTGCATATTCCTAGAGAACAAGATCACCAGGGGAGTTCAAGAAACCCTTTCTTGCCGAGGTCACAGGTGAAAAGAGACCCTCATAACCTCCTGAAAGTAAAGGCTCAGGTTACCTTGGAAGGCAGTTTGTCCTGCCCAGGAGTGGTGGCGGTTTGTGCAGAGGACAAGGGAAGTGATGCTGGTGGGGAGAGCTCTGGTCCCCTCCCAGTGCAGACACCTGCAGTGGGTGTTTTGTGATCTGCCACCCCCCTCCTGTGCACAGCTTGCCTTGTCACTAATGGCAGATCTGTGTAAAATTCTCTGCCAGGTTGTAGCAGCATTATTTTTTAAACAGGTAGCTGCTTTTTCTGCCCATTATACTGCTGGAAAGGAACCCAGATGCCACTGTGTTCTCACTATGCCAGCCCAAGCCATCCCTGCAGTAGCAGGGAGAGCCACGCCATGAAATCACCCCAGGGGAACAGCCCTTTCCACGCCTCCAAGCATTTTTCAGGGAAAGTTGCTTTCTCCTTTTTTCTTTCCATTTCACCTCAGTCACTAACACTTTTGTGTAAGCACAGCAGCTGCACTAGGCCTCATTTTCAGTGTTTTGGGACCTGCTTGATTTTTGATGTTTTTATTGCAAAGGCTGTTAGAGAGGAGCACCTCCTGGTGAAGTTACCTGCGGCTTATGGCACCCGGTGACAAAGGCTAATGCGCCTCCTGCTCGCCCTGCCACAAAGTCTAAGATGAAGTCTACAGAGTCTACAACTTGAACATTGCCTTTAATCCTGCAGATAATGGCATAACAAGATCCAGTGTCTGAGGGTTGAACCTAAACTGTACACTTAGTTTGCCTTTTCAGTGAAAGTAGTTAACAAGCAGGAATGAGGGGAGCAGAGCAGTCTCTCCCACACTGGCAGGCGACATCAAGACCAGATGCATCTCTGGGAGACATGACTGAGGTAAACCATAAATTAACAGGCTCACTGTGAGGGAAAATAATAATAATAATAATAATACTGGGTCCAATTGCATGGTCTGATATGAAGGAGGCCAGAGGAAATGGGCCAATGAGTCCTTTCTGCACCCATGAACTTTCAGAACCCTTCTTATCCGGAGGGGAAAAATGGCAAGGGCTCCCTTTGCCATGTTACCATGGCTGATTCTTAATCACTAGCAGGGCTGGCAGTAGCTCTTGTGCAACACCACTTTCCCCAGCGCTGGGCCCTGTTCCCCTGCAATGCTCCCAACCCCTGCTGGTCTCAGAAGAATTGAGCCCAAAGCTCCACATAGCAATTCAAATGCATCACCAGACATTAGGCCACCGGGTTAACCACTGTTTAATTTCGTCACATTTGTTTGTGAGTTATGTACGTGCCTTTCTTTTGTCAACATCTCCTTTTAGAAAGGATATTGATTTTGTTTTCAAAGGCTCTTGAAAATAAAATGAATGACTACATTCTAAGGAAGAGTCATTTTCTCAACAGCTGTAAATAATTTATTGTTCGCAACCCACCCAGATCAAAAGATACTTCATCAACTGATGTGGCAAAATCTGGTGCAAGCTGCATTTCTATTATCTCAGATCCAATTAACCATTTGGAGCAGACTAAAACATAACTAGATCAATCCAGAATCAGATTAATATCCAATCCATAATCACATTAATCACAATCTGTCCATAATTAGCCATCAGATAATCCCATTGGACAGGAGGTGACATGCAGTATCCCATTATCTCATTAATTATCTATTTTCAGTATCAGACATTGTGCCCAAACACAAGGAAATGTTTTTTCAAGGAAAAATGGATGGAGAATTCTCCTTGTGCTGCATCCACCCCATCGAAGCCCCCAGTGGTTCAGTGTTGGAGTTTTACAACATTTCTTTGTTTTACCATATTCTATTAGAACTAAGAGCTGGTTTTTTGAGAGATGTCATCTTTTTAAATAAAATATGATTATCTCAGGAAGATGGATAAATAAAACATTTGTTTCATGTGAACAAGTTTATGAAAGAAAGAAAACCCTTCATCAAAGGTTTTAATGGTAACATGATAACAATAGCTTTGCAATGCTAAATCTTATTGCAGATGGTTCCTGTCCTTTTTTGTAATGTAAGTGAAATTGCGTTCCATCTGTTTTAATTTTATAATGGACTTAATCCATGGCTGGCTCTGAAAGAATCAGCATTTACTGCCTTTGCAATCTGCTGCAAACAAAAAAATTGTTACTGTTTCCCCTTTCTAGAGGAACTTGTATTTCTATTTGGGAGCATAAAGCAGAGCTGCTGTGTAGAGAGCGGGAAGTGCTGTTAGCTGGCCTCACCCCGGCCAGGCAGCCCCTGCCAGCTCTCGCACCAAACCCAAGTGGAATTGCCCCAAAAGCCATTGGAAACCCTGAACATTGGGTGGAGGAGAGCACGGAGTAATCAGCGTGGCAGGGGAGATTGCGTTTGGCTTTGACTAACAAATGCTTCCAGCAGTTCCAAGTGACCTGAAAGCAATTTTCCAGAGGTCCCTCCTGGCCTGATTTATTCTACGATTTTATTATGTGCTTTTCCTTACCCCCCCTCAGATGAACCAAAAATTAACCTGTTTGTAAAACATGGTGGTACCGAGCTGCTTCAATCCCTCTTGTACCTGTAGTCATTTTAAAGATTTTTGCACATCACATAGAGGAGCTTCAGGGTTTCCCTGGCAAGTAATTTTTTGGGATTTTCTACTAAAGTGCCTGTGCTGCACTGCCTACCCTGTTCCTGCCTGCCTGGATGTGAAGTGAGTCCAGTCCAACCGTACCTGCCTGGTGTACAGGGCACGTTGCTCTGTACTGACACAGGTGTGCCTGCAGCACAGCTTTGCGCCAGTTTGGAGATGTTTGGCTGGCTCAGCTGTAACCTTTCTTTTTCCTAAGTTGGTGGGAGGTTTGGGAGAGCAGAGAAGATCCTGCCCTCGAGTGGGAAGAGGGTGATGCAACACGGAGCATCCCTGCCAAGCTGCTGTATTCTTAGACGTGTCTCATTCTCCTATCACTCTGACATTTTATTTTTGCATTTTATTGTTAACACATGCACATACTGACTCACTCAGGACTCTGTGGATTCCAGCTCAGGCTGAAGTCACCCTTCTGTACCCTCTCTTCTGCCAGGTGCCCAGGCATGGACAGGACAAATTGTGCTGCCCCACAGCCATGGTAGCGCTGTGGAGGTTCCCATCACCCATCCTATGGGGTCACCACAGTTTGAAGAGCCAGTCAAACTTTTCTAATATTCTTCACACCACTCACCTCCCAGCCCAGCTCAGCCACTGGCAAGGCAGGCAGCAGTCACACCACAACCCCTGACAGGCACCATGGCCACCCTGCCACTGCCACACAGGCAGGGACCTGTGGAACCGCCCTGCCCTGAGGATGTCGTGGCCACACTGCACCTCTGCACCTCTGCACATGCAGGGATGCCAAAATCCCGTGCTAACACGTGTCCCTGCTGAAGTGGGTACCCCAAATACCACGCACCTTCCTCCCTCAGCTGTTGCATAAACTTGAAGGTTTGCTTTCAACATTTGGGGTCCTCAAGGGGTAGCAGGGGCTGTGGTCAGGCTGGGGAGAACAGGTCAAATAGTCCAACACCAGTGACGAAAATCGTCCTCCCCCCTCTTCAGCTTCTGGGGTTTCGTATCTACAGGGCGCTTGACTCGTACAAGCACTTCAGCCAGAAAACTCACCCTATCTCCCTCCTCCCAGAAAAATGAGCCCAGCCTGCCCTTCCTGAGCCGACATTTAAAATCACCGTGTCCTTCCCAAGCCATACAGGTTGGTCTAGGCCTGTCAAATACCGTGTGTAAAATTAAAAAGGTGATTGTGTGGAGTAGAAGGACAAGGCTGAAGCCCCAAGACAGCAGCAATCTCAATTCCAGCATGTATAAGCTTTCCTGGACCTTTTGAGCTACTCGTGCGGCTGTGCTGCAAAGTCTTCGGCAATTTAAAACCGAGTCAAAGGCCACTGAAGTGCTCTCCCTATTTTCCTGCTAATGCACAGGAACCCCATGGAGACTGGGGGGAAAGAGAGAGGAAAAAATAACAGAAGTAATAAGAAAGCAACAGGAGAGGTTAAGCTGCAGGAACAGCACGGGATCAGGTGCATGAAAATGCAATAAAATATTATTTTTATTCTGCTAATTTCAACTCATCACGGGGCTCCTGCCCTGAACGGCAGCCCCGACGATGCCGTCGATCCCGTTCGGGTCCGTCGGGGCGGTCCTCCCGCACACGGCCCCCAGCGGGGAGCCGCTCCGCGGGCGCGCAGCCTTGAGCCGGCGTCCGCGGCGGAGCCCCTTCCCGTCTGCCGCGGGATGTCCCGCCGCGCCCGCCCGCGGGCACCTGCCTGCGGCACGCCGATACGGGGGGAAAAAGGGACAACGAAATAAAAGGCGAAAGAGAGGGGAAGGAAGAGGAAAAGGGAAATAAAAGCAGCAAATAAAAAGCGAACTAAAAGTCAAGAAGAATAACAGGGAAAATAGAGGGAGGAAAAGAAGCTACAATGGATCTCCCTCTCCTTGGCCGCCGATGCCGCCGTCCCCTCCGCGCACGGGGCCGGGTCGCTCCGCGCCGGGCGGTCGGAGGGTGCGGCGGGCGCGGGGCGCGGAGGAGCCCGTCCCGCGGCGCTCGGTCCCGCCCGCCCCGTCCGGGCCGGTCCCGCGGGGAGCGCGCCCCGCTCCGCGCCCATTGTTCGGCGCCGCCAATCCTTGGGCGCTCCCGCGGCCGCCAATCGCCTCCGGGGGCCGCGCGGTGAGGTCAGCACCGCCCCCCGCCCGCGGCCGCTGCGCGCTGACATCACGGCCGGCCCGGCGGGGCGGGCCCGGGGGGGCGGGCGCGGCCCCCGCCCCGCGCCGCGCGGGTAGTGGTGGAGCGGCGGCGCCGCATCCCGCATCGCTGCCGGTGCGCAGGGGGCCGCCCGCATGGTGGACATCCTCCTCCCGCGGCCGCTCCCGGGCGCCATGGGGGAGCCCTCCAAGAGTAAGTGCGCGCAGCGCAGCGCGGGGCCGGGGCGGGCGGGTGCGGGACGCTGCGGGTCGAGCCCCGCGCCGCCGCTGCCGTCGGGTGGGCTGGCGGCCGCCGCACCGCCCCGGACCGCGGGCGCGCTGACAGCTCCGGGAAGGGCTGCGGGCTCGGCCCGGGGCAACTCCGGTGCCGCTATTCCCGTTCATGCCCAGCGCTCCCCGGCCCCTCTGGCCCCGTTTCTTACCGAATGCCTGTCCTTTCAGCTGTCCGCGCTGCTGAGCTCATTGCTTTCGGCTCTTTCCATTTCTTTCTCTGCTTCCCTCTCCTTTTTCTTTCTTTTCTTCTCTCTTTCGCTGCCCGTGTTACCGTTTTCCTTTCTTTATCTCTTTCGTGTTTCGGTTTGTCTTTTTTTGTTATTATTACTTCTCTTTCCGTTTTTGTTTATTTCTTTCTCTTTCTGTTCTTCTGGTTTTGTTTGGTTTTATTTCTTTCTGTCTCTTCGATTTCTTGTCTCTTACTGTTTTCATTTGTCCATGTTCTCGTTTTAACCATCTGGGTTTTAGCTGGTTTTGTTCCTTTCTATCATTCCGTTTTATTTTCTTTCCTTCTTTCCTTCTTTCTTTCAATTTTTCCTCAGCCTTTGTCTCATCGTTTCTGTGTTTCTGTTTTTATTTTCCTTTTCCGAAATTCTACTTTTATGTCTCTGTCTTTCTGCCTTTATTTCCCTCCATCAAGTTTCTGTCTTTTTTTTAATTATTATTATTATAATTTCTCTCCTTTCGTGTTTCCATCCTTTCTGTCCACGTTCCTGTTTTTATTTCTTTTTCTTCCTATTTTGGAAAAAAAACCAAAACAAAACAGAATAAGAAAAAAGGAAAAAGATTTAAAAAAAACTCAAGTGCCTTTCCCTAATTGCTGGCGTCTGCTCGGGCACACGGCTGGCCCTGACCGTGCCCCACTCGCTCCCGGCAGGGCGGCCGGGGCTGGCCCTGTGCGCCGGTTGCGGGGGCCGAATCCAGGACCCCTTCCTGCTGCGGGTGTCGCCGGACCTGGAGTGGCACGTCGCCTGCCTCAAGTGCGCCGAGTGCGGGCAGCCTCTGGACGAGACCTGCACATGCTTCCTGCGCGACGGCAAGGCCTACTGCAAGCGGGATTACAGCAGGTGACCCCGAATGCGCCAACGCTCGTTAGGGAAAAAAAAAAAAAGAAAGGGCAAAAAACCCCAACCCGAACCCGAAAAAGCACAAAAGCCCCTTAAAACCCCCGAATTTCCCCCAACGAAAACCTGACTCTCGGCCGCTGCCCGCCCCCGCGGCGCCGCCCGGAGTCGCCCTGACGGCGCATCGCATCCCCGCAGGCTCTTCGGCATCAAGTGCGCCCAGTGCCGGGCGGCCTTCAGCAGCAGCGACCTGGTGATGCGCGCCCGCGACCACGTCTACCACCTGGAGTGCTTCCGCTGCGCCGCCTGCGGCCGCCAGCTCCTACCCGGCGACCAGTTCTGCCTGCGGGAGCGGGACCTGCTCTGCCGCGCCGACCACGGGCCGCCCCCCGACGGCGCCGCCGCCCGAGGGCCGCGCAGCCCAGCGCTGCCTCCATCCGCCGCCGCGCACCTCGCAGGTACCGGCTCCCCGTCGGGGCGGGCGGCGGGGCGGGGGAGGTGTCCGGGGGGCTGCAGGGGCCGGGCGGGCGGCGGCGCTGACGGTGCGCGTCCTCCCCGCCCGCCGCAGACCCGGTGCCCGGGCGGCCGCCCGCCCCGCGGCCGCCGGCGCACAAGGCGGCGGAGAAGACCACCCGCGTGCGGACGGTGCTGAACGAGAAGCAGCTGCACACGCTGCGGACCTGCTACGCCGCCAACCCGCGCCCCGACGCCCTGATGAAGGAGCAGCTCGTGGAAATGACGGGGCTCAGTCCCCGCGTCATCCGCGTCTGGTTCCAGAACAAGCGCTGCAAGGACAAGAAAAAGTCCATCCTCATGAAGCAGCTCCAGCAGCAGCAGCACAGCGACAAGACGGTGAGCGCCCACCCGCCCCGCCGGGGAAGGGAATTGGGGGTGGGGGTCCCGGGCTAGAGGGCTCGGGCGGCAGTCGCGCTGAATCCCCGTGTGCCCGCAGAGCCTGCAGGGCCTCACCGGGACGCCGCTGGTGGCCGGCAGCCCCATCCGCCACGAGAGCGCCGTGCAGGGCAGCGCCGTGGAGGTCCAGACCTACCAGCCGCCCTGGAAGGCGCTCAGCGAGTTCGCCCTGCAGAGCGACCTGGAGCAGCCCGCCGCCTTCCAGCAGCTGGTGAGCCGCGCCGGGCCGCCCGTCGGGCCGCGGGGGGCGGGCGGACCCCGGCCCGCCGGGCCAGGGGGCTGCGGGAGGGGGCCGGGGCAGGGGGCGACCGCGCCGGGCCCTCACCGCCGCTGCTCCCCCAGGTCTCCTTCTCCGAGTCCGGCTCCTTGGGCACCTCCTCCGGCAGCGACGTGACCTCGCTGTCCTCCCAGCTCCCCGACACCCCCAACAGCATGGTGCCCAGCCCGGCCGAGACGTGAGGCGGCCCGGCCGCCCGCCGCCGCGGGACCTCCGCATGCCTGCGCTCCCTGCATGAGACACCCGGCCCCGGGCCGCTCCCAGAGCGCCGGACAAACGCCTTTGTTTTTTAATTATTCTTATTTAAAAACAAACAAAAAATATGTTACTGACGGCCAAAAAAGCACCGGGATCCTCGCTGCCTTCACCAGACCGGAGAGAGAGTCCCCGCCCTGGTTATTTCGTTGTTTTGGGTTTTTTCCCTGCGGATTTCGATGTTTCTTTTTTCCCAAAGAAACGTGGATTTCCCCGCTGGAGCCCGGCACGGTGACAGGCCGCCTCGCCCACCGCTTGCGCCGGAGACGGCTTTTCATCCCTTTTTGGAAGGGAAAAGAAAAAAAGAACCTACAAAAGGGGGAGAGACTCCCTCAGCGTGCGGCCGCGGAGCCGGCCTGGCCGTCCCTCCGCGCCGTCCAGCCTCATCTCACGCCGATGCCTCTCCCGGGCCGCGGCGCCCGGCCCCGCACGATCGCTGGAAAAACGGGACACGGAAACGAGACTTTTTAACGGGAAAACCAGTACTAATAATAAGTTATCAATGGACGGAGGACGGATTGTTTGCGCCTTTAACGATCAAAAGTAAGTTATTGTTATTTATTGTCAGAGTCAGCGGTTGAATAGTGGAATTAAGTATTTTGGACTTAATAAAAAAAAAAAAAAGAGAAAAAAGGAAAGGAAAGGACTGAAACGAAAAAAAAACCCACCAAAAGAAAAATAAAAAGGCGCGGAAGGGCGGCAGAGAGGCTCCCCGGGGTCGGACGCGGACCGGGTCGGGATGGGCACAGCCCTGGCTTTTTCCGCACGGCCTCCCCGCACCGCGTTAATCGGCTTTCAGAACCGGGGCCGCTTATTTATAGCCGGGGAGGCGGAGCGCAGGTTTCCCTTTCGGAGCAGCCCCCGGGCTCGGCCGGGTCGTGCCCGCACCTGCCGCGCTGCGGGGCCGCCTCGCCTCCTCCCCGGGCGTGGCGGGGGCTTCCCCGGGGCGGCGGGGCGAGGCGAACTGACCCCTCGAGCGTATCCATCCCCCCGTCCATACTCAGGCGGCGGCTCCTTATCTGCCTCTGGCATCACCTGGGAGCGCGGCGGGGCCGTCCCCGCTTCCTCCCCGTTACCCCGGCGGTACCGCTCCGGACCGGCTCCCAGCGGGACCGCAGGCCCGGGAAGCTCCAGCCACAGCACACTGCACCCCCCCTACCCTTCCCCGGGCACCCGGGGAGAGCCGGGCCCTGACCGAGCCCTCCGGGCTGCAGGGGATGGGCAGCGCGGCGCCGGAGCGGCTGCACCACCCCGAGGGGCTGCGGAGCGGCTGTGCGGGGACCGGGCCCCCCGGGCGAGCCGCCGTCGGGGCCGCCTTAGCCCGGGGCCGCTCGGCACCGCCGGGGCGGGCTGTGCCCCGGCCGGGCACAAGTGTGGAGGGGTCTGCCGCTCTCCCAGCCCCGCCGCGGGGCCCCCGCCATTACCTGGCTCCATCCTGGTCGCGCTGGTGCTCCCCGCGTTCTCCCGGGGCTGGGCCGCAGCGGGGCCGCAGCATCGCCTCAGGCGGCGCGCGGCCTCCCCTCAGGCGGCGCGGGCGGGACCCGGGTGCGGGCCGGGCCGGACTGGGCCCTGCGGCCGCCGCGGGGGCGGCGCGGGGCTGCCAAGAGAGGACTGTCCCGCTGCCTATCCCGGTCTCGGTGCCTGTCCCGGTCCCGCTGCCTGTGCCGGTGCCCGCGGGCCGCCCGGGATCGGGATCGGCCCCGTCCCCGCCGCAGCGCGGGGCCCGCAGCGCCTCCCGCCCCCTCCCGCGGAAGCGAATCCCGCCCGGCCCCGGTGCGCCGCTGGGTTTTGCTCCGCGGAACCTTCCCCGTTCACAGAACATCCCTAGGTTAAACCAGCGTTATTAAAGTCTTACCGAAACGTTAAAAACGCACATGGTTTAAAAAATCCGTATTATGTGACTTATCCCAAATTACCAAAAAATTATAAGCAAACTTTCCCTAGAGCCAAATCTAACGAATTCTTTTGATTAGATTCTGATTGACTTTTGATTAAAGAGAAAGACAGCTTAAGGGGCTTTTTCTTTCCTATCTCCGAGCCCTGTGTTGCTTATAGTAATTCAAACACACCAACATTTGTAACACAGAAGTCACACCAGACAGAATAAGTTATTTTATTACAAGATATATAGAACATATTTTCTCTGTTTGCAACCTTATTTCAGCAGTTCTGCAGTGCAAGTCCCACCACATCACAGGGCAGAAAACACCCAAATCATGACATCGGATACATGAACGAAATAAACTCAAATTATCAAAATTACAAAACAGAACTTGGAAGTATCTACAGTAGTTATGATATAAATAGTGCAAATTATATATCTACAGAGTAAGTATTTAGAGTATCAAAACCGTTTCAGAACAGCCTTTTAAAGAAGGTAGTCAGCAGGAACTGGTCAGTGTGACGATGTTAGGGATTCAAAACCCAAATACAACACTTATTTTTTCAAGAAGAACTGTCGAGCTTCTTCCCAGGACTGCCGCGGGAATCTGTTGGACAGCTCAAGATAATCTTGAGAACTGAAAAATTTTTCTGTTGAAGACAGAACATAAAATTACCAAGTTATTCCCTCTTAAGATAAGATGGCAATAAAACAAGAATAATGAACATGCGGCCAATTTGAGATACTTTTACTTCCCTCCCCCTCCCAAAATCTTCTCAGCCCGTGGGGTGACACTTCTGTGGAGCTTGGGACATCGAGGGCTGGCTTTAAGAATGGGGGCAGAGGCTTTGGTGAGCAAAGGCTTCCATTTGTAAGCTTTTGGATCAGGCTCTGCTTTGCGCCGTGGAACATTATACAGCTTTACACACTTCATGTTCTTGGACCCACCAGGGACCAGCTCAGCCTTGTTCAGCTCTGGGCAGCCTCAACGGTGTTTTCTGCTCAGCAGCTTTTTTTCCACGGAGGGCTGCGGAGGAGTTGTGCTCCCTGACTCCCAGAGCTCACAGCACAAGTACAAACGCAGCTTTCACTCCTGCGAGTGAACAGGACTGCACATGTGGACACATGTTTGAGGGTCCGACCCTCCACACAGCACCCGAACAATGAAGTTTGTGCTTTCAGGTTGTATTCCCATCAGTGTTACTGTTCCCATTTGTGTTTTGGGGACACCATCCTTCACGTTCAAGTGATATAACGGATAAAAATAATCCTGCTTATACTATTACTGAGACAACTTTTCTGCAACTGGGGAATGTTTAGAAACCACACTCACATGTCACCACATAGTCATCTTTCTTTAAAAGTTCATCCAGCTTGAATAGCGAAAATAAAAAGCAGTTTTCCACTTAGGTTTTAGATGTTTGTTGAGCAGATTCTCATGCAAACACAATCCTGGAAAGTTTGTGCTGCAGACACTGCACAAGGCTGCTTCAGACTGAGAGGTATAACGTTGACAGTAAAAATCTCCATAAAGTTACATTAATTTCATGTGTTATATTTTATTTTTAAACACAAAGCTTATGTTTTAGACCTAGAACTGCTCATCTCTTGCCAAATGTTGGGCAAAATGGTGGTGGATTTTTGTTTGCTATGAGGGAGAAATGATTGTCCGAGCGATGTAGTTTATGCAAAATACAGCTAACTCAAGAACAGATGCCCATCAGCACTTGAATTTTAGATGTGTTTAGCAAGTAACAGCCATCTCAGCTGAGAATATTTCAAATTTAGCCTAAAGAGGTTAAATGCATTTTAAATAATACCTTAATAATGGAGGGGAAAAAAAAGTCACACCTCTTCTGCAAACCGATGAACGTTAAATAACGATTACAAGACAGTATTTTACAGATTTTTGGCTCCCCAGGTGTATTGGCATTGCTGCATGGCTTCTGCAACCTAAAACTTTTGAAGGCAGCCTTTGTGACAGCTAATTAAATATGTGCAGGTACAGTATCACATTTTAAGACATGATACCACACAGAATTTAATAAAGATTAACAGTCTGAATCCCTGATACGATGAGCAGAGGACTGGAAGACACATCAGGATGTGAGGGAGCCTCTCCCCAAGCTGTAAAATCATGCTGCAAGTTACTGTATTTCTTTTATCGTGATGCAGACTCAAAAAATTTAAATCACAGTGAAATATAATATCTACACATTTTGTTAACCGACTGCTCCTCTGTTACACTGCATTGAACGTACCCCTCTGCTGAGATAACTGATTATCCATTTGGCCTGAGCTCTGTGCAAAATCCTATGGGGAAAAAAAGAAAGGCATCAGGTTTTCAGATCTTACACCCGAGAAATTAAAACAACATTTTTAAGTCTTCACAGTCACTCAAAAATACTAATACTTTATGAAAACTCTAAATTAACAAACTCTGGCTTGTTTGTTACATATAACAACAGAATACTGCCAGCATTTAAATTCTATAATATATATAGTAGATTTTTATTTCTTTATTTATACTTGAAAAAAAATAATTTTAGTACACAACAAAGAACTCAAGGCTTTAATATCTTCTTAGGAAATAGTTATTATTGGGATTTTTATTTACCATAGCCATGTCTCTGTAAAAGAAATGGTGTTTCAGGTCTTTGCTCCTGACTCCAAATACACTCTTACAAACTCATGAGTGATTCCAGTTTCAATGGCTGTGCTTCCCAGGGACCTGGGAGCCCGAGGTCCTGATCTCTTGGGAGTGTGTGAAGTTCCTCCCCAGCGGGGGTAACCCCAGCCCGAGCTGTGGGGCAGCCAGGATGAGCACCCAGAGCCATGTGTGGATTCCCTGCTGGATTCGGGCATCGGGACGCTGCGTCCTCGGAGTCAGCAAGGACACCGACCTCGCTTGGAACATGTCGGCTGCCCCACCACAGATCCTATCTTTTGTTGGAGTATCCACCGAGCAGAACGCTGAAGGTGGTATTATCTGATAAGAGATACAATTTAGCAAATCGCGGATACTCCTAAATGTTGTTTAATTATTTCTGCACATCTAAAAGCAGAAGTAACAAAAATAAACGGGCTGATGCAAACTTCAGATGATGGAAATAAATCTGTTGGTAAGGAGGTCGTTGTAAAATCCAGCAACCCTCTGCCTTTGATTTTCGCTGCACACATTTAACACACTGTATTTAAGTGTTATATTCGTACACACCACCGAACTTTTACGCAAACGGGACTTCTTTTAGTGCTCCCTGGCACAGGAAGAATCTCATTTTCTAGTCACGGGGAAACATTTTACAGTCTTTCCCAAACCTTCCACCGAAGCAAATGAGAGATTTGCTTGACAAACAGCAGCAAGCTGAAATAAAAGTAGAGAGGGAAGTCTCTTCTGTGTGTGCGGGATCGGAGCATTCCTTGGATCCTTCCCGAATTGCTCTCTGTGTACGCATGTGCAACATTTGGGATTAGATTTTAACACGGGCAAAAAACTGAAGTACCAGTGAAGTCAGCAAAGACAGGACTCTTTACAGCACCCACAACTCTTCCATATTTTAATATAACACCTTTTTTAAAAGCCTGCAAGAACAGTACATGGGCTTGACATCTGAGATATACCTCTAACTGGAAACTAATGTTGTCCCTTGTAGATATACTT